CGCACGCACGCACGCGCGCACACACACAGAGGCACGCCCTCACAGGGCTTCTCTATGTTACAGCCTCTTAAACCGGTAGCAGTCAAATAACTCTTCTGACTCATTGCTGCCATGGCATCTTCGTTACAGTATTTCAACATTTCAGCAGCTGGCCAGCTATTTAATCACCATTACCCTGAGAAGAGGCCTTTGAAAGTGGCCTCCCACGCTTCCTCCACCAGTCCAGGATTCCAGAAAGGCTCTCCTGCCTACCTCTTTTAGTAGCATGCAATCAGGTGGGAAGTAGAATGGATTGTTTTTTCCAATCTCATCCTTCCTGTTCCCCTGAGTCAGGTACTCTCTTTGGATGTCCTCCCTTGGGTGTGGCTGCCCTGATTCTGCCTCCTTGCCTGGGGAGACCAGCTCAGGGCCATGCCCAGGGAGTTTCGGAATGGAGGCGCATTTGGCAAGCCTCCCGTGGGAGAGTCCATCGAGCAGCCAGGAAGAAAACCCAATTTCCCTGGTCCAGGGAGGGTCCTCCTCGGGAGACCTGAAGCCAGTTGCTCTCAGAAACCTGACAGAAAGGCTGGGCTGTGCAGAGTAATCTTTCAGGTCAGGCCAGTTTCTTCCCTACCTGGCTCTGGAGGTTGCCACACATAGCTAGCAGGGAGGGTGCCAGGCAGGTGAGACAGGTAAGCTTCCCACTCAGCGCAGTTGTCCCAGAGCTACACTCTGGGTTGGATGCTGGCAATCTTCTGAAGCTCATATGTGCGCTTGAAGGAAGGCAGAGGGCCCGGGACCTTGAAAGGTTGCAGTGATCCGCTGGGGCTCCCGGTGGGAAGAGGCCATGGAACAGCCCCCGCACCTGGTAAGTCAGCTCAGGGAGGGAGGGAGGGAGGGAGGGAGGGGAGAACCTGCTGATCCCTGGAGTGATGGGGTGTGGCCAGTAGACATCTTCCTGGAATTGGTAGAACTGAGCCCCGGAGAGGAAGGAGTGGACTGGGGTCTCCAGCAGCCCTCGGACTGGATGGCTTTCTATGCTCTGAGGCTGCTCAGTGTGTGTGTGTGTGGGGGGGGTACTTCCTCCATAAACTGTGCACCCTCAGTCTGCTTCAGCAAATCCGCCTGAGCCTCTTCTTTGCCCAGTGATCCCGCCAGCATCAGGGGGAGGGGGGCGTGGGAACAGATTGTAGGCGATCTTTCTGTTCTGTGACTCTGGGATGGCTGCTTCTTTCTTTGAGATAAGCTTCTTAAGAACCTTTGCAGCCCCTTTCATTTTCATGTATCTAAACTGGCAGGAATACGGTGGCAGGGGTAGCCAGCACCCCAGAAGACAAGCTCGGGATCCAAAAAGATCTTGACAGACTTGAACAATGGGCCCACCCAACAAAATGAAATTTAAGGTGGAGAAAAGCCAAGTTTTATACTTATGCAGGAACAACCAAAGGCACAAGTACGGGTGAAACCTGGCTCAAAAACAGGAACTGTGAGAAGGATTTTGACAGAAATGTGTGGCAGCAGCCAAAAAACCTAATATAAACCTTAGTTGAATAAACCGATGCATAGAATCAAAATCACGTGAAGTATTATTACTCCTGCTTCAGAGGTGGGATTCAGCAGGTTCTGACCAGTTCTGGAGAACCGGTAGCGGAAATTTTGAGTAGTTTGGAGAACCGGCAAATGCCACCCCTGGCTGGCCCCGGCCCCATCTATTCTCTGCCTCCCGAGCAGGGGTGGGTTTCTGCCGGCGCTGATGCCGGTTCGGTGTGCGTGCGATTTGCCTTCTCCAGATGGACGCGGGGTGGTGAGTGATGGTCTTTCCCATCTCTTCTACTGGCGCACTTTCTGAGAATTGGTGCTGCCAGTCCAGGGCGTAAAGTGGGGATAGGCACACGGGCGCATGGGCCGAAACGCTGGAGCCTTGGACCGAGGAACCGCTGCCTGGTGGACTTAATGTGCGTTATGCTTTGGTTGCTTTTCGGTTGGCATCACAATCTGATTTAATCCCAGTGGATTATATGACTTAATTTTTGATTAAAAATAACCTGGGAAATAAATTCCAGATACATAACAAATAAATCCATTGCGGGGAGACTGAAGGGGGTGGGTGGGACGGCTGGGACTGAATGCCAGCTCCCCCTCTAGGCCCAGTGGGTTCGCCCTTTGGGAAAGAGTCGTGTGTGGCCAGCAAGCGGATCTGGGAGGATGCTTAGCTCAGCAGCTGGTTTCTGTCCGTGGCTTCAGGGAGGCTGGTGCAGGCCGTATCTCTGGCAAGTGGAGTATCTGGCAGACCTTGGACTCTGGGACAAAGGTCTCTCCATTCCCCTCCCCCTGAGCGTCTGACCGGAAGGAATCGGCATGGCTGGAATCTGCATTGTCCAGCCTCTGCTGACAAGCTGACGTGTCCACCTGGAGGGCTCCAGACTCCTCTTTGGCCCTGGTGTGAGACGGGGGGCGGGGGGGGGGAATTGTGTGCACACCGAACCAGCAGTAATGCCGGAAGTAACCCATGCTGTGGAGCCGTCTTTCCCCAAAGGGATTGGCCCGCCCTTTGGTGTGCTGGCAGGAGAGGCCTCCTATGGATCCCATCAGCCAAGGAATTTCGGCTGCTGGGATCCAGGAGAGCCTGTTCTGCCATGGCTCCTGCCCTTTGGAAGATCTCGCCACGAGCTCCTTTCTCTTAGCCTTCAGGAAAGGCCTTAAAACTGGGCTGTGCTGATTGACATTGAGAACTGAGAAGCAGCTGTTGGCTGGAGGGGGTTGGTGGGCTAACAGAGAAGGCACCCCCACCTCTTTGCTCCAAATCCACGTTTTTTAAGCTTTTATTTTTATTTTTTGCAATTTTAATATGTTCTTATATTCATAACTGTTTGATATTTGTATATATTATCATACTACAAGCTGCTCAGAATTTCCCGAAGCCACAAGATGGGCAACACATGAATTTACTACTAACCGTAAGGTTTCAAGGGAACCTGATCCGCAGAAGGGAGGTCAGGGCCCAGCAGCATTCCGGATGGGCCGGGAGGCAGTGGCTACTTTGTAAGCGACCAGGGCAGGATGGCTGCAGGCTGAGAGTCACACTTCCCAGCCCTGAGTCCCTTTGGATGGCTGGGCTCCAGCCAGGCGCCCAACCAGGGACCTGGACTGGCTGGTCAGGAGATTCCTGGAGGGAGACTCCCCTGCTGGGGCAGCTTCAGTAAGCACAACCGCACACACGCTGCACGTCGCTCCTCCTAAGGAGGTCAGGGGGGCTCGGCCCTTTCAGAGGGGAAACAACCAGAGGGAACTGCCCCGCCCCGCCTTGCCTTGCCAGTGTCCTAATTCAGGTGGGCGTCTGGAAACTGGTCTTCTACAAAGGAACAGGCCTTTGCTAAACAGGCCAGTCCAGAAGCAGCTTGGGGGGGGGCATTCTCTTGGCCTCTGGTCCAAAGTGCCGCTGGCTGTGAACTGGAACCTTGCTGGGGAGGGGGGGGAGGGGGCTTAGGACCCTCACTCCTGTTCAGATGCATCCAGACTTTGATCCAACGTTGGTCTTCTTTGCCCACAGGAAGGTCCTCTGCCTTCTCCGGAGGTCCTGAGCCCCATCCTCTATGCCTTCCCACCTGCTGCCTCCCAAGGAGCCTCACCAGGTGAGACCATTCGAGGTGCCACCCTCAGACCTTATGAACCTGCAGAAACCAGACCGAGCTCCCCGCCCTGCAGAGCTGGAGCAAGTCCGAGTGGTAAGAATCTGTGGGAACCTCCTGATGAGTGAGACGGGAGGTTGTTTGCATCTAGTGACGGAGAGGTTAGTCTAGTCCAGCCTCTTGCAATAGGGAAGACCCCTAAATAGGGGGGGGGGACTGGGAAAGGTAGCCCTGTCTGGAAGAAAGAGAAGCAGCCATCTGGGAAGCCGGCAGCTGGCTCTTCCTTATAGCTCCCAAACCCCTTGTCTCCCTGCTCTGTTGTGCAAGACGGCCGCTTCAGCAATCCAGGCCTCTGGCTATGGAGGGGAAGGAGGGAGGAAAGCTGGATTCAGCTTCCCATCTCCCTCAGTTCCCACCTCCAGCTGGAGACTCCCAGAAGAGAAAGCTCCAGCTGCTCAGCCTCTGACTCTCAGCTTGTCCCACAACTGTCCTCCCCTCCCCTCCCACAGCTTCCTCCAGTCCCACTGGCAAGGTCTTCTGGGGAATGGGCCCGAAGAGGCTGGCCCTCATCGTCTGCCTTCTGGTCCTCATTGTGCTGATGGTTGCCCTCATCCTGCTCTGTGAGTCCTTCTCTTTCCTCTTAGATTAACACCATAGAGTTGGAAGGGACCTTGGAGGTCTTCTAGTCCAGGGGTCACCAAACCTTCGGACCTCAGGGACCACTAAACAATAATTTTAAATCCCACGGACCACTAATATGATCTGCCTAGGTGGGGGGTGGCGGCAGCTAGGTGGTCATGTGACTGGGTGGGCGTGGCCAACTTGGTGTCACTCAAGTCGAGGGAAGCCTTGACAGCTTCTACTCACCCCTCCCCTCCCAGTCACTCCTCCCCTCCCACCCAGGGCTTCTTAGGGCCCCAACGGGAAGCAGTTGCTGGAGCTAAGCAGCCCCCAGGAGGAAGAGTTGGCAAAACTGCTGGCTCAGTTCAAATTGGATCTGGCCGAGAAGGAGGCTCAGCAGGAGGAGGACTACGGGCACAGGCTTTCCAAGCAGAGGGAAGACCTGCGGGAGGGCAAGGCCAGCTACCAGCGCCTGGAGGCTCAGTGGGCTGAGATGGCCAGCCAGTTCCAGGCCACGATGCAGTCCCACTGGAACGAGGCCCTCCGGCTCTTCCCCACCAGCAGCCCTTCCCTCCAGCCTTTGCCCAAACCCTCCTACCAGGAGGCCGAAGCAGACCCCAAATCAGAACTTCTGACCCCCACCCAAAAAGACCCTGAAGGGGGAGACTCTCTCCAGTAATACAAATGTTCATTGCATGTATCTGTCCCAGGGGGGCGTAGTTTGAGGACCCCCGATTTAATATAAAAAATGCCAATAAATTTTCTGCGGACCACCAACTTTTTCTCATGGGCCACCAGTGGTGCGCGGACCACAAGTTGGCGACTGCTATCCCAGTCCAAACCCCTTCTGCCCATGGCAGAAGACCCCAGACCGCTCTAGACCAATGGCTGTCCAATTCCTTCTTTAAAGCCTCCAGTGATGGAGCAGCCACAGCTCCAGGAGGGAAGCCGTCCCACCGGTTAATTGTTCTCACTGCCAGGAAATTTCCCCTTAGTTCTCGGTTGGGACTGTAATGATCTTCCACCCGTTGCTTCCTGCCCTGCCCTCTTGCTCGCTTGCAACTTATGGTGTGCAGGAATGACTTCCTGGTCCTTCCCACCTACACAGAAGTTCTCTGCTGATACCTGAGGGGCGGCTCAGTCCAAAGAGCCCGGTCGTCTCTTTGGTGCCCAAGGGAGCCATCAGCAGAATTTCCACTTCTGGTGAGATCAGGTTCCATGAAGGAAGGAGCAATATTTGCAGCCTGGGATGAGTGGCCAGCGGCTCTTCCTTTGTGGAACTGCAGTGGTCTGCCTCAGACAAAGCACTCCCTGCTCTGATAGGGGTGAGGGTCAACTGCAGACCCCCTCACTTTTCTCTTGCCCATCGCAGGACAGGAAACACGGCTGAGTCCTAGGAGGGAGGGTCAGTCTCATCCCCAGGATTACGTTGTCCCCTCCTTCCTCCCACGTTGGTTCAAAAGCTGCCCTGTCTCCATTTTAGGCATCATCCCTAAATCTCTTCCTCAGGCTGCGGAGGAGGAGGGCTCCCCTCGTTTTGTGAGGCAAACCCTGGGCAGAGACTTTCTGAGCAGGGAGAAGTCCAGCTTTTTCTCCTTCTCAGAGGTTCACGGATTGTCCTCCTATAAGGACACCAGCAGTAATGTCCGAACAAGGAGAGAGCCGACTCTGATACAGATAAACGCATTTGAGCTGGTGTAAATGTGTCCCACATTGCCAAGTGGTGACTGTGCAGAGCCTCCAGGAGAAAACCTGGTTAAGGCCTGGTTCCATTGTTATTCCTACTTCATGGAAGTTTCCTTGGGACCCAAATTGCTCCTAGGACATGCCAGAAACATTTCCCTTCCATTCTTTATTGTTGCCTTTGGAATCCATAGGCAGAAAGAGGAGGAGATGGAAGGAAATCAGCTGAATGCCAGGACTCTGGTTGTCCCTCTCTCCTCCTCCTCCTCCTCCTCTTCTTCTGTTTATACAATGGGTGGAAACTAATCAAGGAGAGAAGCAACTCAGAACTAAGGATGACTTTCCTGACAATGAGAACGGTTAACCAGTGGAAGGGAAATTGCCTTCAGAAGTTGTGGGTGCCCCATCTCTGGATGGGCTTTTAAGAAAAGACTTGACAGTCACTTGCCTGAAATGGTATAGCCAGGTTTCACCTAATTTGTATTTGTATATCTGGTTTTTCATCCCCAAGTGTAAAATGTTATTTTGCTTTTCTTTACATTACATTTCATTTTGTTAGATAGGGCCCAGTGTTCAAGTCTGTCAGAATCCATTTGGATCCTGGGCCTTTCATCTGGGGTGTTGGCTATTCCCGCCAGCTTAGCGTCATCTGCAAATTTGATGAATGCCCCTTCTATTCCTCACCTAAGTCGTTTATGAAGATTTGGGAGAGTGCTGGGTCTAAACCCGAACCTTGGGGTACCCCACTCCTTACTTCCCTCCACGGAGAAGCATTACCATTAAGGACCACATATTGAGAATGGTTTGTCAGCTAGTTACAAATTCATCCAGTGGAGATGCTGCCTATCCCACATTTTTCTGGTTTACCAAGAAGTGGGCCATGGTCCATTTTGCCAAATGTTTTACTGAAATCCAAGTATACGATGTCCAGAGTATTTTGCTTCTCCAAAGCTGCTCAGAAGTATCGTGTCCGGAACTGGCCAATGCAAAATAAATGGAAATGATTCCTTATGTGCTTTGGACATGGCAACCGATGCTGCGACCCCGTCTGTGCCAGATGTGTGGCTCCCTCTGCTCCTCGGGGTGTGAGATATTTCGTGAATGTGTCTAAGGTTGGACTTTGGTCATTTGGGAAACCAGCATCTGATCCCTGGCAAATGCTATTCAGATTTTGCTGATGCCGCACAAGCACGGGACAGCAGCACGACTGATTTCTCAGCCCCTTGTGCCACACGCATAGGCAGCTGCAACGTGCCCCTGTTTTTGTGCCTTTCCTGGAGACACCGAAGGGGGGGGGGGAGAAAGGGGAAGGAGGTGAGGAAGAGAAGCAGTGATCCTCTTGGCAAGTTTGCTGCAACAGGAAAGGGCTTCCGTGCCCTTCCTTCTCAACTGCTGGGGCTGGTGCACCAGCTGGTTTCAATAGCACGGGCAACTTTGAACAGATGAGAAATGAACAAACTACAGAGGACCACAATTTCTGGGCCACAGAGCACTTTCCCCAGAATTGGGGGTGGGAGGTGGGGGGGGTGTTTCTGCTAGTATCCTTTGCATTGTCATATTTTACTTAAAGGCAAACTTTCACCAGCTGCAGCTAACTTCATTAGATACATGGATAAAGATTTGTGGTCCGAAACGATGCTACCAGACTCCGCCTGGTTTTTGGCTACCCTGGACTAACACAGATCTCCTTTAAAACATTCCCCCTAGAGTCTGTGGTGATTCCTGCACATCATAATGCCGAGGCCTGATCTCGGGCACAAATGCTGCTTCCAATTCTCTGTAAGAGACTCTGGAGGGAACAAATCTGCCCCCTGCTGCCCAATAACCCTAAGAACTTGTTCGGCTGGCAGTGCCGGTGCTGAAGAGGTGCAGTTGCAAGTGCCAGGCATTCCTAGACAGGAGGCAGTGAATCCAAAGTCTGAGAACCAATAGTCTTTACGAGACTAATCAATAGTCCTTATGAGAAGGAAAACTGAGGCGACACACAAGTATTTCAACAAGTCCCTTACTTATTTCTCCCACTTTCTACGTGGAGGGGGAGGGAGGGAGGGGGGGGGCCTGCAATGGTTCCCTGCTTGACGGCCTGGACTCTGGGTTCCTTTTCTCAATGTAAAGTGAGGTAGAGTTTTCTGAGCCTCCGTTGGTTCATTGGTCTTGCTTGTGTCCCAGTTTTGCTCTGGCGGCCCAGCACAGGCATCGTGTACAGGCAGCCCACGGAGAGCTGCAGTGACCGTGCTGTGCGGTGCGATGGGGTTCCCGACTGTTCTCAGAGGAGCGATGAACTGGACTGTGGTGAGGCCGGAAGGTTTTGGGGAGCGGGATGACGGAAGGAGGGGCGAGGGAGGCTGGGAGGCTGCTTCCCTCCCAGGAAGGCCCATTCTGGTTCTTTCCCTTCCCTCTTGTTCTGCAGTGCGCTTTGGCTGGAACCACTCCGTGCTCCACGTCTACTCAGGAGCAGAGAGGGCGTGGCTGCCTGTCTGCAGCCACGCCTGGACCGAAGCCTTCTCCCGAAAGACCTGTCAGCAGCTGGGATTCCTTAAGTAATTCTGGGCCTCCTTGCGAGGTGGGGAGGGAGGGAGTCCACTGAAGGAAGGAGAGGAGCCCCCCTGGCTTCTCTTAACCCCTGGCGGGCTCTTCTGCTCCGGTTCTCGTGCAGAGTGCCCTGGTGGCGAGAGCCGTTTGTGGACTGCACTCCTTCAGATGAATCGGGGAGGGGGGGACTTGTTGTGAGGAAAAGAGATGTGGCTGTTCCTAAACGGAGGGTCTTGGGGGGCTGCATGCTGTGCCAGGGATGTTCTGTAGTATAGATAATGTTGGGTTTTTAGCCACTGTCCACTCCTGGCCAAGCTGTGTCCATGGTGGCTTGGCCTGCCAGGCGCTGGGGAGCTACACCACAGCTGCTCGGCCCTCCCCAGGTCTCCTTTAGCTGCAACTCTTCTGTCTCCCTAGTGCTTCCAACACAGAATACGTCCCTCTGGCGTTTTCTGGGAAAAGTCTTGTGGCTGGCGAGATGCGGAAAACTATCCAGCAGAGTCTCAACAGGTAATGGGCTGCTCGGGGCGAGGTGGTGGGTTGCAAGGAAGCCCCCTCCATTGTGACCCCCACCACGTGCTGGCAGATCAGCGTCATTCAGGGCAGATGGACTCAGGGGGCTTCCTGGCCAAGGGCAGCTTGGTCTGCTCGGGCCAACGCAGCTGCTGCTGCTGCGCACGGAGCCACGGGCCCTGGGCAGAGGAGATGCCTGTGGCTCAGGGCTCCTGGCCCTCAGGTGCCATAGAGGACCACAGACCTGCTAAGGTTTGTGATTCGTGGGCAGTGCATCAATGCACATGCACAAAGTCACACGAAACTCTAGTCTTCCGACTCAGAAACGAAAAAGTCCTAGCTGACCTTTGACTGGCTTGTTCCTTATTTGGCCCAAAAGTGCTTAGGAAATGGGGTTGTACGTTTCTCAAGAGAGTTTGTGTCCTCTGGGACCAGAGCCGTCTGCTACGCCCCATTGTTAGCGAAGACATCCGTTTTCTTTAAGGAACACGATCCCAGTATATCAACAGAGGGATGAAAAACATCCACCCCTTGCAACGTGTGAGCCTCAAGACCGAGTGTCACAATGAGTGCTTAGTTAAGCTCTTAGTCGTGCTCTGGTGGAAGGTCCTTGGTCCTCCTGTTTGGGATCAGTTCCAGAGGTGATTTTCTACCAGAATCCAAATTCTGCTGTCATTCAGCACTTGGCTTTGTAGCACTCCCCCCACCCCCCAATATCTCCTGTTGTCCCCCATCCTCTGCCCTCGCTTGACCCTCTACAGACTTGCAGGTAGCAGTTGGTGCAGGCAGGTCTCATGTCCCCAGACCTCCTTCATGGAGGGCTTGAGCCATTCGCCCTCAGCTTCATCTGTGGGAGGTCAATGTGAAGGGACTCCCCTGTCCCTCCTTGCTCTCTTCTGCTTTCCTCTGGCCGGGCCCTCCAGAAGAGGGGTCTTTCTCCCAGGCAAGCAGGCAGGCAGGCAGAGCAACCTGGGCGCGTGAAAGACCCCATTGGCTGCAGACTCTGTTTCTCCCTTAAACTCTGGTTTATTGATCTCCTCCATAGCTCCCAGTGCCGTTCTGGAAAGCATGTCTCTCTCCGATGCACAAGTAAGGAGACGGAGGAAGCTGGGCGTGGGTGGGTGGGCTCTGACCCTGAAGGGCTTCTTTATTTCTGCACCACAGTTGAGGAGAGATGAGGGCTCAGCCGCACCCTTTCCCGAGCCCCTATCTCAAGAGGCCAAAGCAAAGCCCTGCCACCGAGCGCCCCTGCCTTCCGGGGCAGCACAGAGAACACTGCACTGTCTCCACACTTTGAAAAGCAACAAAAGCTATAAACATCCTGGGGCGGAGCCTGTCAGAGAACCCCCCACCCCCCCGTGAAAACTCAGGATGTGCACACCGTGTGGGGGCTGGGCTGGGGCCTTGGCTAATCAAAAGGGACCTCGCCTGCGTCTCCAGGTGGGTTGGTATCACGGTGCGTGCGTGTGTGCTCCCCCAACTGAGGTTCTTGGATGTTTCTCCCTGCAGACTGTGGGCAACGGATATCCGTCCGCATTGTGGGAGGCACTGAAGTATCTGCCAGCAAATGGCCCTGGCAAGTGAGCCTCCAATATGGCTCTGCTCACATCTGCGGTGGCACCATCATTGATGCCCAGTGGGTGCTGTCCGCAGCCCACTGCTTCTTCATGTAAGGATTAACTTGGGAGGGCAATGGGATGCCCGTAGAAGGGAAGTTCCCCAGCAGGATGTCTGCCAGGAGGAGGCACCCAAAGGGCCGCTGCAGAATTGCCCACCTGATGCTTCGTCCATTATTCTGCCTGGCATTTCTTGAGACCCAGCAAAAAAATGAGGACCACCCCCCACCCCCATAACTGTCTTAATTCTCATCACCGTCTTCTTTTGGATGCATTTGCTGTCCCCCTTTGAATAATTAAATTGGACTGATTTTCCAAAACAACCCTTTGTAGAGGATGGGGGTTGATTCCCACGGCCATTGTCTCAGAGAAATCTCCGTCCGGGGTTCTATGAGCCAAAGGCCCCCGTAACCTTTTGCCTTCGGACTCTTTAGAAACAGCGTGAAAATCCTGGACGAGTGGAAGGTCTACGCTGGGACCTCTGATCTCAAGCAGGCGAAGGAGGGGATCCTGGTCTCTGAGGTCATCATTCATGCTAACTACAGCGATGATCACGATGACTACGACATCGCCCTGATGAAGCTCTCCCAGCCCTTGGCCCTCTCAGGTGAAGTTCTCCAACGCCTCCTGGGCCGCTCAGATGCTAGCAGGCCTCTTCTCCTTTTGCTCGAGGGAGGAAGGGCTCACTCGCTTGTCCCTCTTTTCCAGCTCAGGTTCGCCCAGCTTGCCTTCCCATGTCAGGCCAAAGGTTTCTTCCTGGGAGGGCCTGCTTCATCACGGGCTTTGGCAAAACCAGTGAAAATGAAGGTAAGATGGGCGAGTGGACCTCACTTGCCAGACTCTGGCACAGAGAAGGTGAGCTCTCCCCCCCCCCCCCCGCTTCCACTGGGACACCTAGGCCAGGAAGTCTCACCTGCCAACAGGCTTTCGGAGTGGGTTGGGGAGTCCTTAGCTCTACTGTACTTTTCCCATCGGGGAGTCCTTGATGAAACTCGATTCCCGCACGGGAGGCTGAGGGGGAGCCCAGGGCTCTCTTTTTATCGCCCGGTTTTTGCCCTTTTGCAGAGAATACGTCGCCCAGGCTGCGAGAAGCAGAAGTGAAGATCATCGACTACCAGCTCTGCAACAGTCGCGACGTCTACGAGGGGTTCTTGACCCCCCGGATGATGTGTGCCGGGTTTCTGCAAGGGGGCAAAGACTCTTGCCAGGTAAAGGAGGCCGTTCTTTCCTGGAGAGAAGGTGGAGGGTCCTCCCGTGCGATCTTACACGGATGCAACTGGCTACAAGCCTGGCAGGTTTTAGGGACTTGTAAATTTCCCCACACCAACCGAGACAGAGGTAAGGGAAGGTTAAGAGGAAGACGGCAGCAAAAGTCCTCAAGAAAAAGGAAGCTGCTCACCCACTCTGTGGCTCCATGTGGGCTCCGTGAAAGCAGATCCAGAAAGTCCAATCCCTGGGCAAGGAACAGGCCAGAGCCAGAGGGCCTCAGGGCACAGGAGGTAAGGAAGCGGGAGACTCGCCTGGAGGACATGCTTCTCCATTCAGTGTTCCCAGTTGGAGCTGCTTCCTCCTCCCGTCAGGACTCCAGACTTCACGGCCTGGTCCTTTTTGCCTGGTGCCATGACTGTGGGCTTTGGCCCTCTCACTCCCTGAATCACAGGCACTGATTCTGAGCCTGACTCCCAAGGGGCAAGCGGCCTCCTCAGCTGAGCCCAAGTGGGCTCACAAAACTAGAGGGGTCCGTTCCTGAGGCACCCCAAGAACGAAGACGAGGGGCCTCCCTTCTGGCAACCGTCCTTGGCATCTTGCATGCTTGCAGCGGACTTTCGAACTCGGGGGAGCTGTTGCTATTCTGGCCCCCAGCGCTCTTGCCCGCCCCCCCCCACCCAGTGGGATGTTTCTTTCCTATTCAGAATCACCACTGCTATCACTTTTAAAGTATTTGAATGCGCTACATCTCACTCATCTAAAATTAGCTTTTAAATGATTTTAATGCTGTGATTTTAAAAATATTCTACAAATGTGACAGAATAGCATTCAAACTATTACTGTACTTTAAGGTACTAATCTTAAAATGAAACCATGAAAAAACCCAACTTTCCTAATCATCCACACTGAGCACAATATTGTTTCAGAAAATAATTTCTGAAGAGTTAGAAGTATTGTGTTATGCAACTATACGGACTTCGTTTAAATGAGGTTTCACTAATTACAGACAGAAAAGCTGATGGAAATATCCATGCTAAAAAAGAAATGGGTTAATCCACAGGGGCCACCTGCAAAGGTGCCTGTTGTGCTATGACAGACCCTCGTATCCACTGCCAGAAGAGCTTCCTCACCTGGACAGATATTTGGCATTTTTCTAAAGGAGAAAACCAGATTTTTTGGCCACCAGGGAACGTTGTTGATGGCACACCAACACACTTGATGAAAGATGGAAGGCATTCCCCTTGCAGGACACGAAAGCGCCCTCCACTAAGCCCTTTTCCTACGAAACCCCAATTCTGGGCTTACCAGTGGTACAAACCCTGGAATGCCAGGTGGGGATTGTGACCCTCAGCTCCCTAATGCCCGTCTCTCTTTGCCTAGGGCGACAGTGGTGGCCCCCTGGTTTGTCAGGACAGTAATCGATGGTACTTGGCTGGGGTCACCAGCTGGGGAACCGGCTGTGGCCAGCGAAACAAGCCAGGGGTCTATTCCCAAGTCGCCAAGTTTCTCGGTTGGATTTACAGCCAAATGGAGGTGAGAGGGTCCTTGCTCGCTCGAAGGGATGTAAAGAGGGGGATTCAGGTGGGATGCAGAAGTTGGGAATGGACACGGAAAGACGCTAGAGCAAGAGGGACGTTTGCACTCACTGCCCTGACACACTTGATGGGGCAGAGCTGCAGGCTTAATTGCGCTGCCCACCTGACGTGGCGAGGATTTGGTTTAGGCATCCTGCAAGCTGCTCTCTGAGAGAAGCACTGAGCCTCACCTTTCCCAGGGGACGTCCAAGCACGGAGCCTCTCCTTTCCCCATGCAGCCGTCAGGGAGAGAAACGACCAGGAGTGGGAACTTCCCCTCCAACTCAGATTAGGCATCCCGGGGTGGGGGATGTGGGGGCGGCATCTTCCTTTCTCTCAGAAAAGGGGGACGTGGGGAGAAGGCAGCAGTCTCTCGGCTGCCCGGTGTTCGCTCGGGGCACAGCCAAGGAAGCCTGGCCTCCCAAGGGCCGGGAGAGGTGAGCTACTCAGGCGGTGACAAGGGGTGGCTGCAGATTTGAACAGCAGTCCTGGGGGGACAGCAATACTCTCTATGCACGGTTACCATTCGCTCGGGGTTTTGCTTAGCCCCCTTGACCCTCGGCTGGCACTGGCTGAAGCTTGCTGGCTCTTCTGCGCCCGGGACGGATTTTCTCCCAGGAATCCGTTTCTAGGCTTGCTCAGGAATTCCCCCCTTTTCCCCCGTCTTGCCTTGCAGAATCAGACCCCTTAGAAGAAGAAGACGACCACCGCACCCCTTTCTGGAGAAGAGGAACAAGATGGTGAAGGTGGGGCGACTGCACCTTCCTGCCCTTGGTCCACGAGGATACCGGTGGGGCAGGGCTCCTCCCAATGTCCTCTGGGTCCCCCAGGCTGGAACCAGTTGGGGACTCTGGTTTGTAGGATGCAGCTGGTGGTGAGGCTGGAGCCAGTGCTTGGTGAGACAGGTGGGGCAGGATGGAAGGATCCTGCTCTGTGGCAGTGCCCTTCGGAGAACTGGTCACACATGGGCACCCGGGAGCTCTGACGACGGCACCCTCAGCAGGCAGAACAGGGTCAGCCGGGACGTTTCCTAGGGCGGGATCTGGCTGGCAGCACCACAGGCCCCTGGAAACTGGACTCGCTAGGACAGCCCTCTGCTGCCTCACCTCCTCAGTGCTTCTGTGCCTTTGCTCTGGCAGCCCACTGCGACCCCCCCCCTGGAGAAGAGGGGGAACTGCACAAGGAACACGCAGGCGTTGATTTTCCCCAGGCACACAGCTCCTTCCCTGTCTCTTCCTGAAAAGGAACACCTTGCTTGCTGAAAATAGAAGTGCCAGCTTAGGCTCATTTTCCAGATTCCTTGCCCCAATCTGCTTCTCTGAATCATAGTGGCAGCCTCCTCCTCCTCCCCCCTGCCATCTTCTCTCTCTCCTTCTGCCGTGGCTGGGAAACGGCCCCTGGCAGCTAAGCCAGAGAGGGTCTTCTTCAGCTCCACCGTCAGCAGGTCAGGGGCTACCTTGCACGTTGGCTGGTGTTGCAATTGGAGGCAGCCCGGAAGCCGGTTTGTGTTGGTGCGAGTGTACTAAAGGTTCTAAGACACGAGGAAAAGCAGAGGAGGCAGAAGCGGCCCAAAGGAACCTCTGGCTTCAAGGAACTGTGGCCGGCAGTGCTCAGCAGAGGCCCCCAATCTGTGTCAAGTCAGCCCCCCCCCCCCCATTCCCTCCTTTGACCAGGTCATGAGAGGCAGGCAGGGACTTCTTCTGAAATCACACTGAAGTGGGGGACTTCAGAGTACGTGTGGCCAACCCAATGCATTTCGTAAGCAGCCTCCTTGGTGGAAAAGAGGCTCACTGGTCAAAGCGGCAGGAGTGAGGATGCCGGGGGGGGGAGGGGGGGACACCCTGCCTGGGCTTTTCTAGGCCGCTTGCCTGCCTCTCTGGCCACACCGTTCAAGCCCACCAGCAGCAGGCACAGCAATCTCCGGCTTTAGGGGTGTGGTGGGAGGAAAGGACCGAAAGCGGCAGAGGGAGGGACCCAGGCAGTCAAGCAGTTCACCTTCCCGCTTCCTTTTTGGGCCTGTCAAGCAAAGGCAGAGCCTCTGCGTGGGAAAACAAAGACGTGTGTGCAGGACTCCAGAAATGGCTTCTTCCCCAGTGAAGGTGGGACACGACTGCCCTCTTCTCTGGGGAGCTGGGATCAGAAAGGAGCTCCGGAGAGCAAGGCTTGTGAAGGAAGGGCAAAGCCAGGAATGCTGGGCTTGTGCTTCCAATTCCTGTAAACAGACATTTAATCATCTCCACAAATCAGGGAGAGACAAAGCATGAAACTCTGGAAGGCAGCCGCCTTCATGAAGGAAATGCTGCTCTACCCACAGGGCTGCCTGGGGGGAGATATGGGCGGTGGTGTCGTACCCACAGGACAGGGATGCTGTGGGCGGGGCCAATGCCAGATCCCTGTTCCAGGTGCCAGTGGGATCATCCGGGTGTTGGGTGGGTTCAGGAGCCACCTGGTAGCTATAGTTTGTTCACCTGCATGGTTGGCTCAGTAGCACCCAGATGAATTGACCTCCCACACTAACTGGTCAGAGCTGAAGGACCCCCTTTTTTTGGCTCCTGGAGATTCCAAGGGGAGACAAAGGGCCCAGGCCAGGCGCTGGAGCCTGCAGGGGGCCTCGCTCAGGACTCTCCGCTGCCATTTGACACAGCTGGCAACAGGTGGGCTCAAAAATCCAACTTTCTCTCTAGCAATAAATCTGCCTCCCTTGCTGCCGCCGCCGCCTCCCCGCTGCAGGACAGGCCCAGTCGCAACGGCAGGGACCCGCGCATCCTCACAGTTCCACGGCGAAGAGCAGACAGGGAAGGATTATGTCCTCCCCCCGCCCCCCCCAGTCCCTCCACCTCGGCTGGGGCACCGGACCTTGCTCGAGAGCCTCGGCTCAGGTCTGGGTGAGGGGGGGCTCCCAGCGCGACCGCCCGTGCCGACATCACATGCGGAGGGAGGGGAGAGACCCCCGACCCCGCCCGGGCACGTTGAGCGCAGCCAGCAGGCGCCCGCCTTTCCTCCGTGCGCGCGCTCGGGTCTCCGCTTTCACCTAGCGCCTGCCTTGCTCCCAGCCGAGAGCGGCCATGCCCGAGCCCCTGGCACGCCCAGCCCTCGTCAGCTGCGAGGGGACGCGGGCTTGAGCCGAACCACAGCCGGGAGGCAGGAGACGCCAGCCTTTCCCTCTGCGGACGCCGTCTGCCCTGGAAGCCCCCCCGAGGGGAAGGTAGGCGGCGAGACGGGAGCAGCCGAAAGGGCGGCACCGACGGCCTCGCCCTTTCCTACGCTCGGCTGGTCGAGGGCTCCGTGGCTGGGTGTCCGAGGCGGCTCTGGGACGCTCGGCCCCTCTGGGCGGCGGGGGTCTTCCGTTTCCCGCATCCGAGCGCCTTTCTTCCGAGGGCCCAGCAGGCGGCTTCAGTTGCCCGAGAGCCGCTCTGCAAGGGGAGAGCGACTTCTGGGCACGGGCAGGCTGCCGCCGGTTCGCTTGTCGAATACAGCCGGGCGGCGAGGGGCGGTGGACCGGGAGGGCGGCTTTTTCTCGGGGGGGGGGGAAAGGGACGCTGTGGTTCCGCACCCCGCCCTTCTGGCTTGTTGACGGCGGCCCCCGCCCTCCTCTCCAGCCGCCCGTCGGGCGTCTTGCGACCTCCGCGTTCACCGGGGAGGCGGCGCGCGGGGTCTGTCTGGCGCGGCCTCCGCCCAGGCTGGCAAATTGGCTTTCCGGTTGTCGGGTCAACCGCGGGCTGGCACGGCGCTAAGTTGCCTGGTTACCGCTCCTCTCCCGCCGTGGACCGCGAGGACGCCTCGCCGGTCGCGACGTGCTCAGCGGAGAACCGCGCGCTCTTCCCCGCGACAGACTCCCGCCCGCCCCTCGGAATCGCGCGGTTCGGCCCTGGGGAGGCGCCTAGTCTCGGCCCCCGCGCCAGGACTCCCGCAGGCGGCTCGCCCAAAAGGCTGCGTGGGGCGGCGGGCTGCGTGGCGGGCGGGGCGCCCTTTGTTTACGGGCCCTGCGATCGGAGGCGGGGCGGGCATGGAGTGGCGGGTCCGAGCCGCCGCCGCCGCCGCCGCCGCCTTCACGCGCAAAACATCTCGCGCAGCCCCTTCCCAGCGTTGCGCAGGCGCAATGTTGCCCATTCTGGGGTGCGGCGGCGGGGGGCGGGCTGGCTGCGTCGGGCGTTTAGGTCTCCTTCTCTCTTCCCTGTTTTGAACAGAAACACCCTCCCCCTCCCCCTCCCCCTCCAAACAGCTGGGAAGCAGCTGGCGCGGTTCGCCCACCAGGCCTTTGGCTTGGATTCCTAATCAGAAACGGGCTTCGGAATGAAAGCGAATGAAGGGCAGGTCGAGGGCGCCTGGAGGGTGGGGTAGAAACTGTCAAGGTCGCGCCGCTCTGGCCGGCCCAGAACTCTCTCACTTCCACCTTTGCAGGTGGGCTTGCAAACATCTACGGGGAGGGGGTTGTTATTGCAAGACCACAGCCTGAGTTGGCATCCTTAAGAGAGTGAGTGGGTGAGATCCTGGCTTCCCCTGAGACTCCTTTGGTCTTCACCCAGAGGGCGGCTGTGGGGGGGGGGGCTCAGTGAGGTTTCCCACTCTCTGCGCTGGAATAATGCCCAGAGGGGCACTTAGGGATGAGAGATGCACTTGCTTCAGACGTGAATTGCACTCTTTACCTGTGCCCAGGGGACCCGCAGCCCGCCAGCTGCCCCAGTTCTTGAAAGCACAGTGTGATTCAGGCCCCTCTTGGCTAAAGGAAGGGGAGGGAAGGCTTGTGGTCAGAACCTGGTCCCTTCATGAAGCTCCAGTGCAGGGAGGTGGTCTCCCTCTCGCTGCCGACCTCTGCAGCACTGCCTGCCAGACCAAACGAACAGGCCCCACTCTTGGCTCTTTTGGGGAGAAGGGTGCCTCTGCCTCCAAGTTGATCAATCTCCTGGTTTTGGAATAGCTGTAGTTAATGCCAACTGCAGGACAGATTTTTATTCTGCCTTGTGGTGGTGGTGTTGTGCAGTGGCTTTAGAGGGCTGTCTGGTCAGGGACAGGCTGGGAAGCCACCCTTCTGGGTCTGCCCCTGCTTCCCAAATAGGCATTTCTCTGCCTGACTCTGCTTTTTGGCTCAGTGGTGGTCCTGATCCAGAGGGAGTCAGCTGCATCCATCTGGGTTACAGTGCTGTGCCAGGTTCCCAGAGCAAGACTGATCCTAGCTTCTTCACCTCCCGTGGTTCAGTACGCTCAAAGATCTCAGTCCACCGGCTGGCTTAGGCCAATCGAGGTTAACAAAGCAGTAGGGGGCATTTTGCTTTGGTGTTGAGCTGGTGGCCCATGGTTGCTTCTCAAGGTGAACATTTGTTCTAGGCCCGTGATGGCGAACCTGTGGCACACATGCCAGAGGTAGCACACACAGCTCTCTCTGTGGGCACACGTACCGTTGCCAGCTGCACTTCCAGATTCCGTCGCGCGCATCTGCACCAGCCAGCTGGTCTTCGCACATGTGCATGACGAAACCCAGAAGAGAGCAGCTGGCCACGTGCACGGGCGCACAACGGAACCGGGAAGTGCAGCTGGCCAGCTGCTCTCTTCTGGGTTTCAGTGCTGTGCTGCACACACGCATACTAGCACATGCACATGCACACACACACATGTTCCTGTTCCAGCACTTGGTGCCGAAAAGGTTAACCCTCACTGTTCTAGGGCCGTGATCACTTTGCACTCTGGGGGGAGAAAGTTATCTGGATGAGGCCTTTCCTTGTGGCCTCGCGATCTGTCCCGTCAATTTGTGAAAATGGGGACAGAAACTGCTGATGAGGATTTTGGTGCCTGAATGATCAGTATGTAAGGTGCTTTGCTGACTTTTACAACATGGGAGGGGAGATTAATTAATTAATTCATCAATTTGTATCCTGATTTTATTTGTTCAAATATTTTTACAAATCACTCAAGATGACGAACTTATCCAACATACCTTCCTCCTATTTTTTCCACCAGAACCG